TTAATAAAGGTTGTATTTATATACACTTGAGTGTATGGGCTAATCAAAGAGGTGCCAGTTGATAAAGATCAAAGTTACATACTTGATCGAAAAGTTAGATTTCTGTGACACTTTTAAAGTTGAGGATATCGTATTAAATGAACAGAAAGCCCATGATCAGTAAGTGAAACCGACATGAACAAAATTGATAATTCAATCAAAATATTATCATCGATAATCCCATACTGCTCCATTCTGTACGTATTCCAAACCTGAATAGGCTTTGAAATACACTTGGTACGATAGCAGCAGGGTGTGCCACGATGGAAAGAAAACCAAATTCTATGTTTCTCAACTTAAAAATAGTTTAAGTTTTCGTAATGGATATCAGTACAGCCACGTGCAACTTAAAGCCTAATTATGTTTAACTTTTAAAAATCACCGTTTGTACAATTTGAGAAAAAAAAATTCCAATACAGTTCTAAAGTTCCTACTAGAGGCCGTCACATCAAAAAAAAATGTAACGAATTCAGCTTTTAAATATGAAATTAGAAACATCTATAAAACAAATTGATAATGTGTAATTAATTCAAAACTCTTAATGAATTTATATTCTCTAATATGAAATTGGATAAATGTATGCAATAGAACAGCGTTTTTAAATTTAACTTCTGAACATTAGATTATATAAATCTATGCAACAAAATAACTTCTTATTTAATCTAACTTTTGAACATTATATAATCTAATGTTCAGAGGCAACAAAACTGAAAACATGTGCAACCCAGAAATTGGTGAAAACAGCTGTGACACAATTAATACTGCATAAAACTGGAAGTTGGAACCACAAATCGAAACGTTGTTGGGATTGACTACATGTACGAAGCATGGCTCATTTAAGTATATTTGATTTGTGCCCACTCGGAACATCTAGAATATCAAGTGTCCATACTTTTTATACCATCCAGAGCTCCGTACAAAGTCCTGAATAATTTTATATAATAAATTCTGGAAGCAGATCGACCATTTTCATCAGATGACTCTCCACGTAAATAATCTTGAATTATTTAACTCGTTTCTAACTAATATTTCGTGAACAAATTTTGCCACATACAAGTAGTTTGACGTGATATAAGAAGGTCTGAAGACAGTGCAACTTATTTGCAATGTCTGAAACTGTATGAATGACTATCTACTACATTGATGCACTGTTGAAAAATATAAAATCTGGAAACATTACTTTTATTTTCATCATCGGATAACGAAACAACCTGTAAAACAACTAGAAGTCTAACAGATACCAACTGAATTTGTTCTACATACACAAACTTCTAGTTGTTAAACGTCCATAAATGAGGACAAGGTTTGTGTATGTAGAACAAATTCAGTTGGTATCTGTTGGTCTTCTAGTTGTTAAACGTCCATAAATGAGGACAAGTTTTGTGTATGTAGAACAAATTCAGTTGGTATCTGTTAGTCTTCTAGTTGTTAAACGTCCACAGATGAGGACAAGGACCAACAGATACCAACTGAATTTGTTCTACATACACAAACCTTGTTCTCATCTGTGGACGTTTAACAACTAGAAGACCAACAGATACCAACTGAATTTGTTCTACATACACAAAATTGTCCTCATTTATGGACGTTTAACAACTAGAAGACCAACAGATACCAACTGAATTTGTTCTACATACACAAAACTTGTCCTCATTTATGGACGTTTAACAACTAGAAGACCAACAGATACCAACTGAATTTGTTCTACATACACAAACCTTGTTCTCGTATGTGGATTTTAATGAAGCGCTCAAATTGGCTTCAGTTATAAACTTTTGACTACCATGTTCAAATGTATTGTGCCAACTGAAAACAGTAGACTCCTTTACAAACTTAAAATATTACAGGATAATGTCTTCCCTGCATATCTAGATATATTAGTCTTATGGGGGATTATATTCCCTTCATCTAATACAAAAGTACTAACTCCAAACAGTACATTTTTTCTCAAACCTAGAGAATCACAAAGCAATGCCTCCCCATAAGTTTTTAGGAGGAATATAATATCTTTGCCTACAGTAAGAGCAGCTACGTCCAACATTTCAACACATTAAAAATTAAGTTTACAAGAATTTGTGGTAATTCATAGGTTATTTAATTAGTCATGTCATGAACATGTCTGACAATAATATTTTGTATATATTTCTTCTTGTTTTTTTCTATGAGTGCATTAAATGATATAAACAATGAAATGTCTAGTTAATTGTATCTGAACACGTAAGAAAGCGATAAGATAGTACGACTTCGTTGGATATTTTCATTTTACTTTTAAGCTTAACACGGAGTTGCTATAATACAACTACAGTATTGGTAACAACTGGAACCACAAGTCAAACGTTTTAAACAATTTGTGCTTTACTGAATGCTCGTGGAGAATTTGGTACATGGTTCATCCTCCGTACAGAGCAATAAAGATTATTTTAGCGACAATTGTACCTTCTTTAAGGTGAAACATAACATTCTGGACAAATCCTTACATATTGAAAAATAAACATTTTAGAATTTTAATTTTTTACAACTCTTAAGTTTTAGTTGTATATTCCTTACCACAAATATAGTTACCTCTTTTAATATCTACATTAAACGTTCGTCTGACCTCCAAGTTTCCCGTAATACTAACAATAATTCTGATTGTAGTTCCAGCATCTACCGCTAGTCATAAGTTAATTTTTATATTGCTCTAAGTATTAATGAGACTCATCTCAGGTGCTTCACATAACAAGACTCTCGTCACTCTACTCTGTGGTACACCAGTCACTAAATTACAGAAGTATAATAACATTAATGATAACATTCGTGTTTTACGTTGCGTAACTTTTAACTGTTTGGAACTATGCCAGAAAGTTATCATCAAAAACACGTACCCCATGATCTACACTCCTGGCTCAGCACAGTTTGTATAATTGTCACCGCTGCTGAAATTCTAACCTTACAACTTAGCAGCTCCAGTGTAGGATGTCACAGACACACAAACAACTACTCTTCTAATCTTCAGTTCTTTTTGTTTGTGTGTTTTTATAATGATTCTAAGCTTAGACTGGACTGAAAGTTTCAAACCTAAAAGAGTGATTGAAAATGAAAGGCAACGATTATTTATTTCTAAATCCTCTCCTTTAGCATCGAAAGAAATTGTGACATCCGCATATTACGTATTGATTTTAAAATAAAAACGTTTGTAGTATACAATTAACTTCGTCTTAGCTAAATAATATATATATATATATATATCAGAAATAAAAACTACCCGAAAAATATTCTGATACATGATTAAAAGTCTTCAAAACATTCTACTAATGTATATGAAAGGTTAAATGTTGATAACTGTATAATGAAGGCTGTCTCCTTGGTTACGACTGTACTAAGAGATAATGGTTTTATGATAGTCTGTCACCCTCGTAAGAAGCTGTTTCCTTGGTAACGACTATACTAAGAGATAATGGTTATATGATAAAACCCGTCTCCCTCGTAACAAGCTGTTTCCTTGGTAACGACTATACTAAGAGATAATGGTTTTATGATAGTCTGTCACCCTCGTAAGAAGCTGTTTCCTTGGTAACGACTATACTAAGAGATAATGGTTTTATGATAGTCTGTCACCCTCGTAAGAAGCTGTTTCCTTGGTAACGACTATACTAAGAGATAATGGTTTTATGATAAAGTCTGTCTCCCTCGTAACAACTGTACTAAGAGATGACGATTTTATAATTAACGCGATCTCCTTGGCAACGACCTGTATTATTAAAATATAACATTTTTATTATGTATATGTTGTCTCCTTGATAATATTTGTACAAATAACTGACGATTAATACAAATAATTGACTCATAACAGAACTTTTCTAGAACATTCAGTGTATAAGGGTTTCTCCGATTCAATTCTTAATAACAATAATATTTCATAAGCAGAAAGTACAGTACTGGAAATATCGTTTGAGGCTGTACTTGAAGTCGTTGTACTTTTCGATTGTTAAAGGGATCAGATCAAAATACAGACAACAATTCCTTCCACGCCATAACAATTATTTGTCTTGTAATTTTCGTATCACGGGCGTTGTCTAAGGCTGTTAGACTGGAATTTTGATCAAGTTTTTTCTCTTCTTTTTTGTTTGTGTGATTTTATCTTTAACAAGAAATCTGCTGCGCTCTAGCTCCCTATTTCTTCCAAGTATATACTCTAACATACGGCTCTAACTCCCTATTTCTTCCAAGTATATACTCTAACATACGGCT